CCTTCACAACTCAACACTGTCTTACACTACTCAACACTATCTTACTCTACTCAACACTATCTTACACTACTCAACACTATCTTATTCTACTCAACACCATCTTACACTACTCAACACTGTCTTACACTACTCAACACTATCTTACTCTACTCAACACTATCTTACACTACTCAACACTATCTTACTCTACTCAACACCATCTTACACTACTCAACACCATCTTACACTACTCAACACTGTCTTACACTACTCAACAATATCTTACTCTACTCAACACTATCTTACTCTACTCAACACTATCTTACACTACTCAAACATATCTTACTCTACTCAACACTATCTTACTCTACTCAACACTATCTTACACTACTCAACACTATCTTACTCTTCTCAACACTGTCTTACACTACTCAACACTATCTTACTCTACTCAACACTGTCTTACTCTACTCAACACTGTCTTACACTACTCAACACTATCTTACACTACTCAACACTATCTTACTCTACTCAACACAATCTTACTCTACTCAACACTGTCTTACACTACTCAACACTATCTTACTCTACTCAACACTGTCCTTACACTACTCAACACTATCTTACACTACTCAACACTAACTTACTCTACTCAACACTATCTTACTCTACTCAACACTGTCTTACACTTCTCAACACTGTCTTACACTTCTCAACACTATCTTACTCTACTCAACACTATCTTACTCTACTCAACACTATCTTAAGGACCTGCCTCGCATGGGCCAGTAGACCTTCTGCAGTGTTCCTCCATTCTTATGTTCTTATGTTCTTATCTTACTCTACTCAACACTGTCTTACACTACTCAACACTGTCTTAGACTACTCAACACTATCTTACACTACTCAACACTGTCTTAGACTACTCAACACTATCTTACACTACTCAACACTGTCTTACACTACTCAACACTATCTTACACTACTCAACACTATCTTACACTACTCAACACTATCTTACTCTACTCAACACTATCTTACACTACTCAACACTATCTTACACTACTCAACACTATCTTACACTACTCAACACTATCTTACACTACTCAACACTATCTTACACCCACTCAACACTATCTTACTCTACTCAACACTATCTTACACTACTCAACACTATCTTACACTATTCAACACTATCTTACACTACTCAACACTATCTTACTCTACTCAACACTATCTTACACTACTCAACACTATCTTACACTACTCAACACTATCTTACACTACTCAACACTATCTTACACTACTCAACACTATCTTACTCTACTCAACACTATCTTACACTACTCAACACTATCTTACACTACTCAACACTATCTTACACTACTCAACACTATCTTACACTACTCAACACTATCTTACACTACTCAACACTATCTTACTCTTCTCAACACTGTCTTACACTACTCAACACTATCTTACTCTACTCAACACTGTCTTACTCTACTCAACACTGTCTTACACTACTCAACACTATCTTACACTACTCAACACTATCTTACTCTACTCAACACTATCTTACTCTACTCAACACTGTCTTACACTACTCAACACTATCTTACACTACTCAACACTATCTTACTCTACTCAACACTATCTTACTCTACTCAACACTGTCTTACACTACTCAACACTATCTCACTCTACTCAACACTGTCTTACACTACTCAACACTATCTTACTCTACTCAACACTATCTTACTCTACTCAACACTGTCTTACACTTCTCAACACTGTCTTACACTTCTCAACACTATCTTACTCTACTCAACACTATCTTACTCTACTCAACACTATCTTAAGGACCTGCCTCGCATGGGCCAGTAGACCTTCTGCAGTGTTCCTCCATTCTTATGTTCTTATGTTCTTATCTTACTCTACTCAACACTGTCTTACACTACTCAACACTGTCTTAGACTACCAACACTATCTTACACTACTCAACACTGTCTTAGACTACTCAACACTATCTTACACTACTCAACACTGTCTTACACTACTCAACACTATCTTACTCTACTCAACACTATCTTACACTACTCAACACTATCTTACACTACTCAACACTGTCTTACACTACTCAACACTATCTTACACTACTCAACACTATCTTACACTACTCAACACTATCTTACTCTACTCAACACTATCTTACACTACTCAACACTATCTTACACTACTCAACACTATCTTACACTACTCAACACTATCTTACACTACTCAACACTATCTTACTCTACTCAACACTATCTACACTACTCAACACTATCTTACACTACTCAACACTATCTTACACTACTCAACACTATCTTACACTACTCAACACTATCTTACACTACTCAACACTATCTACTCTTCTCAACACTGTCTTACACTACTCAACACTATCTTACTCTACTCAACACTGTCTTACTCTACTCAACACTGTCTTACACTACTCAACACTATCTTACACTACTCAACACTATCTTACTCTACTCAACACTATCTTACTCTACTCAACACTGTCTTACACTACTCAACACTATCTTACACTACTCAACACTATCTTACTCTACTCAACACTATCTTACTCTACTCAACACTGTCTTACACTACTCAACACTATCTCACTCTACTCAACACTGTCTTACACTACTCAACACTATCTTACTCTACTCAACACTATCTTACTCTACTCAACACTGTCTTACACTTTCAACACTGTCTTACACTTCTCAACACTATCTTACTCTACTCAACACTATCTTACTCTACTCAACACTATCTTAAGGACCTGCCTCGCATGGGCCAGTAGACCTTCTGCAGTGTTCCTCCATTCTTATGTTCTTATGTTCTTATCTTACTCTACTCAACACTGTCTTACACTACTCAACACTGTCTTAGACTACTCAACACTATCTTACACTACTCAACACTGTCTTAGACTACTCAACACTATCTTACACTACTCAACACTGTCTTAGACTACTCAACACTATCTTACACTACTCAACACTATCTTACACTACTCAACACTGTCTTAGACTACTCAACACTATCTTACACTACTCAACACTGTCTTACACTACTCAACACTATCTTACTCTACTCAACACTATCTTACACTACTCAACACTATCTTACACTACTCAACACTGTCTTACACTACTCAACACTATCTTACACTACTCAACACTATCTTACACTACTCAACACTATCTTACTCTACTCAACACTAAACTTACACTACTCAACACTATCTTTCACTACTCAACACTATCTTACACTACTCAACACTATCTTACACTACTCAACACTATCTTACACTACTCAACACTATCTTACTCTACTCAACACTATCTTACACTACTCAACACTATCTTACACAACTCAACACTATCTTACACTACTCAACACTATCTTACACTACTCAACACTATCTTACACTACTCAACACTATCTTACACTACTCAACACTATCTTACTCTACTCAACACTATCTTACACTACTCAACACTATCTTACACTACTCAACACTATCTTACACTACTCAACACTATCTTACACTACTCAACACTATCTTACTCTTTCTCAACACTATCTTACACTACTCAACACTATCTTACACTACTCAACACTGTCTAACACTACTCAACACTATCTTTATCTGGATATCTTTACTGCTGAAACGTTTCGCCTACACAGCAGGTTTCTCCAGTCAAATACAGAGGCAGCAGGTGTAGTAGTATAACGAAGATGACGCAGTCAGTCCATCAACCATCACATCACTACTACACTTGCTTCTTCTTCATTTGACTGAGGAAACCAACTGAGTAAGCGAAACGTTACAACAATAATGGTACCCATCATCAACTTGTTTCAACAGAGTTACAACATGTCGTGAAAATATCGATGCAATAAAATTAATGGAATAGAAGCGAGTCGAGGAACAGCTGGGAGTCCTAGACTTAGGTAAGAATCGTCAGGAAACTCGACAAGTGTTTCCTGACGCGGGTCTTAGTTATATGATGACCCACCGCTGGAGCTTTGGTCATCTGACCGAGGCCTTTTGCTGGCTTACCGGTCCGCCCCTGTCCTCGAGTCTTGTGTACACTCCTGGGTTGAGTGATACACCTCTGCATACTGTAATTGCAAAGTTACAGGTTCACTCCTATGTACTTCTGACCCACTGCATTAACTGGACATATTACCCATACGAGTCAAGACAAAAATGCAAATTGGAAAATATGAAGGGTGCCTTGCAGACCTTGAAGGATACCTTGTAGACTCTGAAGGATACCTTGTAGACCCTGAAGGATACTTTGTAGACTCTGGAGGATACCTTGCAGACCTTGGAGAATACCATGTAGACCCCGAAGGATACCTTTTAGACCCTGGAGGATACCTTGTAGACCCTGAAGGATACCTTGCAAACCCTGAAGGATACCTTGCAGACCCTGGAGAATACCTGAAGGGGTCTTTCCAAAGGGCAAACGCCTGGTCCCGGACCAAGCCTACTACAAGAAGAAAAACCTGTCCTTCAGACCACTTGTATCCCACTGAACGACCACTTTGCAACTTGCATCTTCCTCCTCTTGCACTGTTCTGGTCATGTTGTATTTCTCTGCAATCATTTCCATGCTATTCCACTCAGTTTCAAGGACGGGGGAAGAGAGGGCTCTTGATGCTTCTACAAAGGGCTCCTAATCCGAGGAACTGGAGCAACCTTCCTCGGATTAAGCCCAATTACCTTTCATTCCTGCGCGATCCTTGTGGGTTTAGAGCTCTATGTAATAATAATAATAATAATAATAATAATAATAATAATCCATGGCTCGTTTAGAGCATTAGCAAGACAGACATTTAAAGCCTTCAAGGGGGCATTTAACGTCTTAGTGAGTCAGCTAGCTAGAGGGACATTTAAACGTACCTACTGGTGGCGTCTAGGAGGTGAGTCAAGATTCACACTGTGTACTCACACAAAAGTGAGGGGCCCTCTCCTGGAACCCTGATAGCCGATGGGCAGCATCATCCAGGGCAGATGCTTGCTCGGGAATGACACGAACGCCGCTAACATCAAGGTGCCAACGATGACAGTCAGGAATACCTGTAATTACAGGTGTTTCTGACATTCTAAGGTAAACTCGTAACACTTGCATCTCCACTCACACACACACACACACACACACACACACACACACACACACACACACACACACACACACACACACACACATATTGGCGTATGCAGCACCAATATGGAACCCACACCTGGTCAAACACGTCAAAAAATTAGAGAAAGTGCAAAGGTTTGCAACAGGACTAGTCTCGGAGTTAAGGGGTTTGTCCAACGAGAAGAGATTAAGAAAACTCAACCTGAAGACACTGAAGGACAGGAGGGATACGGGGGACATTATAACGATATATAAAATACTGAGAATGTTCAGAGATGGAACACAGCAACAAGGGGTCACAACTTGAAGCTAAAGACTCAGATGAGTCACAGAGATGTTAGGAAGTACTTCTTCAGTCATACAGTTGTAAGGAAGTGGAACAATCTGGAGAGTGATGCAGTGGAGGCAGGATCCATACATACCTTTAAGAAGACGTACGACAAAGCTCGTGGAGCAGGGAGAGAGTAGAACTAGTAGCGACCAGCGAAGGGGCGGGACCAGGAGCTATGACTCTTCCCCCCTCATCACAAACCCCACCCCCACCACAACCCCCATAGGCCCCTGCCAGGGCTCCAGCTCCCCCAACCCCAATATTCTCCCAGGACCACAGTTTTAGAAAAAAAGTTGAAGGTTTGGTACACGAATGCGGATGGAATAACGAATAAATATGAGGAGTGGCATGAAAGAATGAGAAGTCCCCAGACATCATAGCAGTCACAGAAACAAAACTCTCGGAGACAATAACAGAAGCAATCTTCCCATCAGGATATCAGATCCTGAGGTAATATAGAAGAAGCAGAGGGGGAGGAGGGGTTGCACTGTTTATAAAAAACCGATGAGGATTTGAGGAAATGGAAGGCATGGACGAGATTGGAGAAAGGGACTACATAGTAGGTACAATTCAGTCTGGGGAACATAGGTAGTCATAGCAGTGATGTATAACCCACCACAGAACTGCAGGAGGCCAATAGAGGAATATGAAGAGAGCAACAGAGCGGTGGTGGATGCACTGGCGGAGGTGGCAAGAAAAGCTCACTGGGGAAGAGCAAAGTTACTGGTTATGGGCGATTTCAACCACAAGGATATCGACTGGGAAAACCTGGAGCCACATGGAGGTCCCAAAACATGGAGAGCCAAGATGATGGATGTGGTACTGGAAAACTTCATGCATCAACACGTCAGGGACACTACCAGAGAGAGAGAGAGAGAGAGGAGAGGATGAATCAGCAAGACTGGACCTCTTGTTCACCCTGAGCAGTTCAGACATTGAGGACATCACATACGAGAGGTCCCTTGGAGCTAGTGATCACGTGGTTCTGAGCTTTGAATACATAGTAGAGTTACAAATGGAGAGGGTAACAGGAGTTGAATGGGAAAAGCCAAACTATAAAAGGGAGGACTACACATTTATGAGGAACTTCCTGCAGGAGGTTCAGTGGGACAGAGAATTGGTAGGAAAGTCAGTAAACGAAATGATGGAATATACAACAACAAAATGCAATGAGGCAGAGGGAAGGTTTGTTCCCAAGGGCAACAGAAATAATGGGAAGACCAGAATGAGTCCTTGGTTTACCCGAAGGTGTAGGGAGGCAAAAACTAAGTGCACTAGAGAAGGCAAAAAGTACAGAAGGCAAAGGACCCAGGAAAATAAGGAGATTAGTCGAAGAGCCAGAAACGAGTATGCACAGATAAGGAGAGAGGCCCAGCGACAGTACGAAAACAACATAGCATCGAGAGTCAAGTCTGACCCGAAACTGCTGTATAGCCACAGTCTGATCACCTGGTCAGAGACCAGGTGATCAGACTGAAGAAAGAAGATGAGTAACTCGCAAGAAGCGATGAAGAGGTATGTGAGGAGCTCAGCACGAGATTTAAGGAAGTATTTATAGTGGAGACAGGAACGATCTGGGAAGACAGAACAGAGGGGGACATCAACAAGGAATATATCAAAACGTGTTGGATGACATACACACAACTGAGGAGGAGGTGAAGAAGCTGCTAAGTGACCTTGATACCTCAAAGGCGATGGGACCGGACAGCATCTCCCCGTGGGTCCTCAGAGAGAGAGCACAGACGCTGTGTGTGCCACTAACCATGATCTTCAACACATCCCTCGAAACTGGGCAACTACCTGAGGTATGGAAGACGGCAAATTCAGTTCCCATTTTTAAGAAAGAAACCAGAAACGAGGCACTAAACTATATAGACCAGTGTCACTGACGTTTATAGTATGCAAAGTCATGGAGAAGATTATCAGGGAACGGAACAAGATTATAAATGGCAACCAACACGGATTCATGGGAGGCAAATCCTGTGTTACAAACCTCCTGGAGTTTTATGACAAAGTAACGGAAGTAAGACACGAGTGAGAGGGGTGGGTTGACTGCATTTTCTTTGATTGCAAGAAGGTCTTCGACACAATTCCCCACAAGAGATCAGTGTAGAAGCTAAAGGATCAGGCCCGTATAAGAGTAAGGGCACTGCAATGGATCAGAGAATACCTGACAGGGAGGCAACAACGAGTCATGGTACTGGATGAGGTATCACAATGGGTGCCTGTGACGAGCGGGGTTCCAAGGGGTCAGTCCTAGGATCAGTGTTGTTTTGGGTACATGTGAATGACATTACGGAAGGGATAGACTCAGAAGTGTCCCTGTTTGCAGATGATGTGAAGTTAATGAGAAGAATTAAATCAGATGAGGACCAGACAGGACTCCAAAGAGACCTGGACAGGCTGGACACGTGGTCCAGCAACTGGCTACTCGAATTTAACCCAGCCAAATGCAAAGTCATGAAGATCGGAGAAGGGCAAAGAAGACCGCAGACAGAATGTAGGCTAGGTGGCCAAAGACTGCAAACCTCACTCAAGGAGAAAGATCTTGGGGTGAGTATAATACCGAGCACGTCTCTGGAAGCACACATCAACCAGATAACTGTTGCAGCATATGGGCGCCTGAAAAACCTAAGAATAGCGTTCCGATACCTCAGTAAGGAATCGTTTAGGACACTGTACACCGTGTACGTCAGGCCCACACTGGAGTATGCAGCACCAGTTTGGAACCCACACCTGGTCAAGCACGTCAAATTAGAGAAAGTGCAAAGGATTGCAACAAGGCTAGTTCCAGAGCTAAGGGGAATGTCCTACGTCGAAAGGTTAAGAGAACAGGCCTGACAACAATGGAGGACAGGAGGGTTAGGGGAGACATGATAACGACATACAAAATATTGCGAGGAACAGATAAGGTGGACAGAGACAGGATGTTCCAGAGATGGGACACAGAAACAAGGGATCAAAATTGGAAACTGAAGATTCAGATGAGTCAAAGGGATGTTAGGAAGTATTTTTTCAGTCACAAAGTTGTCAGGAAGTGGAATAGTCTGGAAAGTGAGGTAGTGGAGACAGGAACCATACATAGCTTTAAGACGAGGTATGATAAAGCTCCTGGAGCATGAAGAGAGAGGACCTAGTAGTGATCAGTGAAGAGGCAGGGCCAGGAGCTGAGTCTCGACCCCTGCAACCACAAATAGGTGAGTACAATTAGGTGAGTACACACACATAGGAATTACCTCATACCAGTGTAGTCCCCTTTTTTGAAGTTTGCTTCTCCCTTCCTTCTCCTGGTGTTTCACTCTCCACTTTCAACTCAACAAGGTATTCGAAACTCAGGGGACCACGTGATCACTAGCGCCGAGGGACCTTTCGTGTGTAATAACCCTTATACCTGAACTATGTAAGGTTAATACGAGGTGCAGTCTTGATGGTTCATCCTCTTCTCTATCTCTCTCTGGTTTTTGTGCGTGCACTCGAGCGCTCGCGTGCGTGCGTGTGTGTGTGTGTGTGTGTGTGTGTGTGTGTGTGTGTGTATGTGTGTGTCTGTGTGTGTGTCTGTGGTATATCAATATATACATTGGGATATCAACACACATATTTAGGGATGAATTAACCTGATATTTTTTAATGTTTCTTAGCATGGTGGAGATGCTGGTGGCAGAGGTACTGGTAACAGAGATACTGGTAACAGAAGTACTGGTAGCAGAGGTACTGGTAGCAGAAGTACTGGTAGCAGAGATGCTGGTGGCAGAGGCACTGGTAGCAGAGATACTGGTGGCAGAGGTACTGGTGGCAGAGATACTGGTAACAGAAGTACTGATAGCAGAGGTACTGGTAGCAGAGGTACTGGTTGTGGTGTTCCAACAAGACACTCAGACCTGTGGAATGAGGCAGAATAGTGGTTAGTTACTGCTTATCAAAGGTACTTTCAATAGGCACTTGGCCTGTGTTTGTTATGTATGTATGTATGTATGTATGTATGTATGTACGTGTGTATGTATGTGTAAAGAATACAGTCTAAAGCACATTGATCGTCTTCCTGACGGTCGCTACGCACCTGAAGTATCAACAATGAGCAGTGTGAGGTGTTCACAGGCAGGAATCCATTCTACTGTGACTTATCAACTGATACCAATCATTCTATTGTAACCTATTATTGCACATTATCATTCTACTGTGACTTATCAACTGACACCAATCATTCTATTGTAACCTATCATCGCACATTATCATTCTACTGTGACTTATCAACTGACACTAATCATTCTATTGCGACCTATCAACTGACACTAATCATTCTATTGTGATCTGTCATCGCACACTATCATTCTATTGTGACCTTTCATCGCACACTATCATTCTATTGTGACCTTTCATCGCACACTATCATTCTATTGTGACCTTTCATCGCACACTATCATTCTATTGTGACCTTTCATCGCACACTATCATTCTATTGTGACCTTTCATCGCACACTATCATTCTATTGTGACCTGTCAACTGATTAATCATTGTGTAGTGATCTATCACCTCGCACTATCATTCTCATATTTGTGAGAGCTATACAACGAATAGAGCATATGAAATAATTAAGTTT